ATTTTCCCCACTTTACTATACAGTAGATTTCATTTCATTGTTAAGTCCCCTCAACTAAGAAAGTTATTTTATAGGCAAAATGTATTTCACTTTTACAGCAATTAAATGAATATCCTCAGAGAATATAAATAATTTTTCCATATTTCACCATTGTGGATCAACACAAGTTACATTCTATAACTTATTGACATATTTTTTTCAGAGTTTTATGATCTATACTCTAGCATTATATAGAAAACAATGTGTAACTTTCAGCAGATGAACAGTCAAGTTTTTTCATACCAGTGCTAACATTGTGGTTGTTTGGTGATTTAAACTCAAAACTACAATTAACCTCACTATATGCAATTTTCTAAAAAATCTACAATTTGTGAACACTTAAATCATAAATCCTAATATTTGTTCTGGGCTTCTGTTGCTCATAGCAACAAAATTTATCCTGCTATGGAACTGAGTAAGAAGTCTTTTGTGCTTTAAAGAACTAATCAACTGCAACCTCCAGATATAGGCTTTGGCAGTTAAATTATAGTTTACTCTTTGAACTTTCATATTTCATAACTTCAAAAAGAGAGAAAAGACCCTTCAGAAAAGTTTTCAAACGGTGAGAAATCAGTAACCTGAATGCATTCATATCATTAATATGTGAAGATGCTGGCATAAAAATGGTATATAAACCGGTCTTCTCTCATATTCTAACTGGTAATAATCAATCTAACATAACTCTTAGAAACCAAATGTTTTATGTACCCAGAGCTTTCTGGGAGGAAACTAGAACGTTTTAGAAATTATTGCAGGAGTCACACATGTGTAAAATGCAGAAGAACCCCAAGATGTGCCATAACACAGCAATCTGAAAAAGGGCCAGGTAGCGGAATGAGAAGGATTATGCCTTTGGCAAGTACAAGTCCATAAATCCCAGTTTCTCCAGGTTATGAGGCACATCTGCAACCCCAAAATGATGGCTACTGGTCGGAATACTGGACTTACATGAAAAGTTGCTTTTGTCTTTTGTCGACAGCTCAATGATCTACAGATCTGACTCAGAGAGAGAATGTGCCACAAACTGAATCACTAGCATCTTCTCTTTGGTTTTGAGGTGGTGACACTTACTTTTTCATTTGAAAGTTGACCCAACCCAACCAGACCAATTTGAAAGAGATAGGATTGCTGCTGAAGAGGCATGGCAGCAAGCTGCACAAATTAGATGGTAAGACTAGAGATTAACTCGTGAACTTGGCAGGAATAAGTCATAGGATGGGAGCTGGCATATATGAATAGTGACAACAACTGGATCTTGGCTGGTACCACTCCTAAAGGAGACTAATAAATCCTGAATTTTCTATTTATGTTTAACAGCCATGGCTTTGTCCCTATGGAGTGTTTGATAAATTTCTACACATTGCTAAATTAATTCTTACTCCATCAACTTGGTGGAAATCTATTGCATCAAGAAGTGTTAATACACATCCAAGGAGATAGGAACACATTTAAGGCTAAATAAAATGCTATGACCTTAATCCTGTGGAAGTTGCTATTTAGCTAGTGAAGAAACTAGAAAATACTTTTTAGAACATCTTATGCTTCTGATGGTGCATAATCAACAGTTTAGGAAGCTTAATGCTTAGTCCCTGAATTCTGTAAGAACGCGATGACAGTTCAGTTTTCAGGACTATAGTTTGTCTCCTTTTTAATGTACCCTCGTAGTTTCAGAAGTACACTTTAAGATAGAGCACTGTTTGTTTTCATCACTTTTTTTAAATTTCAGATATTACAGGGGTACAAATGTTTTGGTTACATGGATTACTTTGTACTGCTTGAGTCAAAGTTATAAGTGTGCTCATCACCCAGATAGTGTACACTGTACCCATCAGATATGATTTCACCCCCTTCCCACTTGCAGGATTTTTACTTCCATCTGTGCACATGAGTGCCAATCAGTTAGTTCTAATTTAATAGTGAGAACATGTGGTGTTTGTTTTTCCATTCTTGTGATACTTCACATTCTCCTAGAATTGTCTCCAGTGCCATCCAGATTGTTCACTTTTAACAACTATGGGGATCTTTATCACTATAGATGTACCAATATTTCAGCCTGTGCTCAGGGTCACCATGACTACTAGATTACCGGAATTTATAATCTTAACAAATATAAGACCAGGGTAATAACTAATCTCAAGGCACTCACTGAGCCAGATTAAGACAGACATTTAAAGAGTGGTGCTTTAAAACTATTTGATTAGTGTTGTCCATAGTGAGTTCTGATAGAAGCAAATGTATATATCTCCTTTCTTTTCTCTACCACCCTCACTGTCTGACAGTAGCCAAACTAACACTACTGCAGAGGCCATAGTGATTTGTATAGTGATTTCATCCTAAGGTGAAAAGGGTAGGGGCATTGGAAACACTTTTTCCTCTCTCTCCTATGATATCAAAGTCATCCAAAATTACTTATTGATTCACTGTCCTGGAAAATATTTAAAATGCTACTTTGGTAGATTACCAAAGTATTATATCACCTCTTGTGTTGATAAGAGATTGGTAGGGAAAAAAAAGACAAGGACAGAGTGGAAGAAGCAAAAGTCACAAATTGTCCATCTTTTAGAGCTATATTTTTTACCTCATCCACTCCCCTGATTTAAGTACCACCTATATGCTGATGATACCCACATCTATATGTCAACATATATCTCTCCCCTAAGCCCCAGATTTATCATTCCAACTACTTAGTGAACATCTTCACCTGAATTTCCTATAAGCAACTCAAAGTAAATAGGTCTAACTTTGAACTTACTACCTTATCCCAAGTCTTTCTCTCTTCCTCCTTACCATTTCTCATCTACCTTTTCATCCAAACCAGAAACCTAAAAGCCATCTTTGACTTTTCTCTTTACTTCACTCCTAAATCAAATCAATCACAAGTGCTAGCACTTGACTCCATCCTTTGTCCTGCTGTCATTGCCAGGTCTGATCACCACTTGCCTGGACTATTACAGGGGCCCTCTAACTGGTCTCTCTCCACCAGTGTCGGCCCCCTCAAATGCACTCTTTACACTGCTGCCACAGTGACCTTTCTCAAATTCAAATCCGATCAGGTCTCTGCTTAAAACTCTCTATGGCTCTCCACTGCGCATAGTCAGCGTGGTGTGTAAGGCTCTTGCAGGCAGTCTGTGTACCTCTCCACCCCTCTTCCTCTTCCTTTCCACCTTTCTTTTCCTTTGCACTCTACACTCCAGTGTTAGTGAATTACTTGTAATTCTAGAGATACCCCAAATAGCTTTTTGCGTCCGTGCCTTTGCACATGTCGTATGTCCCAGAGTCGTCCATACCTTCTCTACTCCTGCTGCTCCGACTGCCTGCTCAACTCCTTCCTTTACATCACCTGAAATTCTACTTTTAGGTCATCTCCCCCAATTCCAGACAAATTGTATCACTTTCTTTCATATATTACTTCCTATGTCATTATATTTATTATCTTTTCCTCTATTACTATGCATGGATGCAAAATATAGAAACAAAACATCAAAAGCTTTACACATTACTACAAATACTCATTTACATTCCTGCCCCCCCTGGATTGCGACTCATTAAGGGTATACAGACCATGTGATACTCAGTTTTATAAGCCTGGTGCCTAGGACAGCATCTGGCACATTATACATCAATAAGTATTGGCTATTGCCGAAAAGGACTCTAAAGTTAATCCAATTGACCCACCCAAAATTAAGAGCTGCTACATCCAAATTTGTTATTAATATTTATGCTGTAAAAATCATGTAAATTGATGCTCTCAACATAAGTATATCTTTGTAAGATAATCGATCTGAAATAGGGATAGTTGAAATATCCTTTTTCTCCATCTGTTTCACTGTCTCTAAAAGTTCATAGGTCTTCATTCAGAAAAAAATTTCAAAAACTACTTTATACAACTCAAAACATGACAATTGCCTGATGCTATTAGGTTGCTTCTGTGGGGGCAGATATAGAGAGGTTTATAACTGGCCATTGGCATTGGTATACACACAACACACACACTTCTACATACATGTCCTATCTATTTCCCCCCAAGCAAAAAGGAATAAGATCTGTGTCTTCTGCAGTTTTTCTTTCTCTTTCTTTCTTTTTTTTTTTTTTTTTTTTTGAGAGACAGGGTCTCGCTCTGTTACCTAGGCTAGAGTACAGTGACATCATCATAGCTCACCGCACCTTAAACTCCTGGTATCAATCAGGAGTCTGGTATCAATCAAACTCCTGATCCTCCCGCCTCAGCCTCCCAAAGTGCTAGGGTTACAGGTATGAGCCACCACACCCAGCCCTACTTCCTTAGTTTCCTGCACCATTCCCCACACACTGTGTATGCTCAACAGATATGCAATCCATTCCTATAATGGTGGAGCCTGCACTAGTGGAAAGAATACTAGCCAGGAGCTAGGCTCCCTGACTAGCCATGATAGAACAAAAAAGAAAATTTCCTGCCCTGATTTATACATAAATGAGAATAGCATGAGGAGGAAGTAACAATATTGAGGATCTGTTATGTGTCAGAAACTGATGTAAGCACTTGATATATAGTATTGAATTCAATCATTGCAAAACTCCAGTGATACTGGATCATTATTGTTTCTATTTTACAGGTGAGGGAATTAACTCAGAATAATTTGCCCAAGAACACACACAGCTAATAAGTGGCAGAGTCAGCATTTGCACCCAGGTTAAAAGCCCACATTCTCAACTACTATTCTATACTGCAAATGTTTTATATATCACATTCTACAGAATAAATTTGAAAACGGATAATCAAAATTATATGTATCTATTCCCACTGATCTTCATGTTTGATTGCATGGTATAAGAAAAAATTTTGAACAGTTTTATAGCTTTGCAGAGCAAAAGCAGTGACTTAGAGCTCATGCTCTGAATCAAGACTGCCCAAAGTCCAATCCAGTCTCTACTTCACATGAGCTGTGCTTTAAAAAAATGCAAAACCAGAAAGCATTACTTACAGAAGCCAGTAATCTTCCATCTTCCTTCATAGCAAGGTAACGGTTCGCACACACTCCTTTGATAGACACAACCCCTCTCTCTTCTGCTTGAAGTTGTAGTTTGACTGTAAGTAATGGGAAAAATTACCTTTGTAATACCATAGAGAAAAGAGCAAGCTCCACAACAATTACACAACATAAAGACAAAAGACACCCGAGCAACAACTAATGCACTTGAAAATTGGTGAGGCTGGGGGGTGAGGGGGGACAGGGAATATGGGGCAGATGTCAACTAAACTGTATTAGAGAGGATGAGATGCAGATCTGCTAGCACATCAGGCCTCAGGACTCCCTTGTCACTCCTGTGTCACAGAGTGAGCAGAAAAGGGTAATTAAAGTTAAGCTGAGGTAGCAATGTATCAGAGTTTAAAAACTGTTAATGTTTCAGATAGAGTCCCTGAGACACTTTGCTGGTTCTATACAATGTGAAATCTCAGCCAGTACTCAAGGATACTGCAATACTAGACTGTTCAGTCCAGTGGAATTAAATCTGGTTACACTCAAGTAAGCTTTTTTGTTGTCACTGTTCCATGTAGGGCTGGCTTTACAGTGAGGAAAGATAAAATAATTATACTTGAGATCTATAAGACTCTTAATAAGCAAAGCCACTGGATCCTATGGCCCAGCAAAGGCATAGGCTAAAGTTACATTTCATTTGCTGGGGTTAGGGGAAGGTCTTCTTAAAGGAGTAGTTTTAAATATTAAGTACTTTAAGATAGGAAATAAAAGCTATTACATTTCCACATGAAGAGAAATACTCAGGAAATAAAACAAAACAGACAAGCTAGCAAAAATTTGTTCTAAAAAATGGAGGAATAATCAACAATTCTACACCACAAAAATGATCTATTCCCTTCTATGCCTAACTAGAGGAGATATCATCTTCAGCCTGGTTTCTGAAAATAATAAAATACAACTTTATATCTTTATACTTAGATAAATGTTAAAGCCCTGGTTTTCACATTATATAAAAACCCTAATACTTCAGTTAGTATCAAAAATCACCTTTTTTAAATTATACACCTGAAAATTTTCTGCCATAGCTGTCAAAAAAGCAAGATATTTTCTCCATTATAAAAATATGAAGAGCTTGCCACCTACACTGTGATTAATGATTGTAAAATAGAACATTTTTATAGTATAAAAACATTTTTTTATTGTATACTAAGCACCTATTAATATGAAAGGAAGCTCTCACATTATCCTCCACTCAGAGCAGTGCTTCCTCCATTCAGAGCAGCTTTTAGGTTGTTTTTGTTTTTATTAGTTTGTTTGTTTTTGAGACAGGGTCTTGCTCTGTCACTGGAGCTAGAGTGCAGTGGAGGTCACCATAGCTCACAGCAACCTCAAACTCCTGGACTCAAATGATCCTCCTGCCTCAGCTTCCCAAGTAGCTGGGACTACAGGCAGGGGCTGCCACACCCAGCTAATTTTTCTATTTTTTTGTGGAGATAGGGTCTCACTCTTGCTCAGGCTGGTCTTAAACTCCTGGCCTCAAGTGATCTTCTCACCTTGGATTCCCAAAGAGCTACCATTACAGGCAAGATTGAACATGCACGGCCTTAGAGCAGTTTTATAGCACATATCTGGCCCTCCCACTGACTGAGATCTTTTGGAAAGCAGAGAACTATACTTTATCCATCTCTGTGGCACAGTACCCAGCACACAATAGTATCTAATGAATGTTTGTTGTTGCCTCATGGAAAAGAAAGACAGGGATAATATGGATTAGGTATTCTGAAAAATTCTCCCAGTATTAAGCTCCTAACAATGTCAAAGCATGAAAAAAAGAAGAAACTTTCAGAGGCCAAAAATAGGAAAAATAAAAATAAAAACAATTAAGCATAAGTTCAGAGAGAAAAAGCAAAAGATGTTGTACAATCATCAATATTTTATGTGTCAACTTGGCTAGGCTACAGTACCAGTAATTCAATTAAACACAAATCTGGGTGTTGCTGTAAAGGTATTTTATAGATGTGATTAAAATCCATGATCAGTTGACTTTAAGTAAAGACTATCCTTGATAATTTCATAGACCTCATTCAATCAGTCGAAAAGCCTCACGAGCAGAGCTAAGGCTTCCCAGAAGTAATTCTTCTTTCTGAACAGCTTCTAGCCTACCCATTCTGACAGCCTGCCTATGGATTTTAGAATTGCCTATCCAATCCCCACTATGGTAAAAGCCAATTACTTGCAACAAACCTCTTAACACATTATTTTTTAACAAAACAAACAACTGCAACAATGCAATAGGTCTCATACTGAAGTTTTACACAGATGCTAGGAGACTACAGAAAAGGACATATTTATTATTAGATGAAAAGACAGGGAATATTTCTAGGAGAGATGAGATTTGAACTAAGTTCTGAAGGATAAATAGGGTATAATCACATAAACAAGGTATTAGCTAGGGAAAGACATGGAGAATATAGAATTCTACATTCCATGTAGAATGTCATTCCAGGACTGAGGCATGAAACAGCCACACTTGTTCAAAATCATCAAGTCCTACACATATAAAGCAAGCAAGAAAATCCAGATGGAGAAACTGTATAGATCAAACCATGCAATTTATTTTTTTCATTTCATTTCAGAATATTACATGGCTACAAACACTTTGGTTACATATTTGCCTTTGGACCACCCAAGTCAGAGCTACAAGCCTGCCCATCCCCCAGAAAGTGTGCACCGCACCCATTAGGTGTGAAGTTACCCATCCCCCAACCCTCCTCCTACCTGCCTGACACCGGATGAATGTTACTTCCATATGTGTATGTAAGTGTTGACCAATTAGTGCCAATTTAATGGTGAGTACATGTAGTGCTTGTTTTTCCATTCTTATACTTCACTTTTAAGAATGGGCTGCAGCTCCATCCAGAATAGTACAGGAGGTGCTAGATCACCATTGTTTTTTGTGGCTGAGTAGTACTCCATGGTATTTATATACTACATTTTATTAATCCACTCATGTATTGATGGGTACCTTGAGTTGTTTCCACATCTTTGCAATTGTGAATTGTGCTGCTATAAACATTTGAGTTCAGATGTCTTTATTATAGAAAGTCTTTTTTTCCTTTAGGTAAATACCCAGTAATGGGACTGCTAGATCAAATGGTAGTTCTACTTTTAGTTCTTGGAAGTATCTTCATATTACTTTCCATAGAGGTTGTACTAATTTGTGGTCCCACCAGCAGTGTCTGAGTGTTCCTATCTCTCCACATCCATGCCAACATTTGTTGTTCTGGGACTTTTTGATAAAAGCCATTATCATTGAAGTTAAGTGATATCTCATTGTGGTTTCGATTTACATTTCCCTGATGATTAGAGATGCTGAGAAATGTTTCATATGTTTGTTGGCCATTAGTCTGTTGTCTTTTGAAAAGTTTCTGTTCATGTCCTTTGCCCACTTTTTAATGAGGTTGTTTGATTTTTTTCTTGTTAGTTTTCCTGAGTTCTATACAGATTCTAGTTATTAGCCCTTTATTGGCTGTGTAGCATGCAAGTATTTTCTCCCATTCTGTAGGTTGTCTATTCACTCTAATGATAGTTTCCTTGGCTGTGTGGAAGCTTTTTAATTTGATCAGGTCCCATTTATTTATTTTTGTTGTGCTGTGATTGTTTTGGGGTAATCTTCATAAATTCTATGCCTAGGCCAATGTCTATAAGAGTGTTTCCAACATTTTCTTCTAAAATTATTATGGTTTCATGCCTTAGGTTTAAGTCTGTTATCCATTATGAGTGATTTTTGTGAGAGGTGAGAGGTGTGGATCCTGCTTCAATCATCTACATGTAGCTATCCAATTTTCCCAGCACCAATTTATTGAGTAGAGATTCTTTTCCCCAGTATATGTTTTTGTCTGCTTTGTCAAAGATCAGATGACAATATGAGGATGGTTTTATATCTGGATTCTTAGTCCTGTTCCATTGGTCAATGTCTCTGTTCTTGTGCCAGTAGCATCTGTTTTGGTTACTATTGCCTTTTAACTGTAACTGAGGTCAAAAAACAGGACTTTTCCAGCCACCCAGAAGCCTCTCTATGCCTTGTAGTGTAGCTTGAAGTCTGGTAGATTGATGCCTCCTAATTTGTTCTTTTCACTTAAGCTTGCTTTGGCTATATGGGGTCTTCTCTGGTTCCATACGAGGCATAGAATTATTTTTTCTAGATCTGTGAAAATGATGTTGGTATTTTAATAGGGATTGGATTGAATCTGTAGATCACTTTGGGTAGTATAGACATTTTAACAATATTGATTCTGCTGATCCATGAGTATGGTATGGTTTTCTATCTGTTTACATCCTCTGCAATTTCTTTTCTCAGTGTTTCGTAGCTCTCCCTATATAGGTCTCTCACCTCCTTAGTTAAATATATTCCTAAATATTTTATTTTCTTTGATGCTATTGTCAAAGGTATTGTGTCTTCGATTTGATTCTTGGCTTGACTGTTACTGGTGTAGATGAAAGCTACATTTGTGTGCATTTTGTGTACTGAGAACTTGCAATTTCTTGAATAAATAATTGCAAGGAGAAAAAAAGAATGGAAGGAGGACATGAGATGAAAAAGGGGTAAAAACTCATGTATGTTAAGAGGGAAAACTAAAGTAAACTATTTAGGGATATCCATTTGTGTGATAAAACTATTACGAAAAATAAAGAACTAGTTGGCTCACGCCTATAATCCCAACACTTTGGGAGACTAAGGCAGGAGGATTGCTTAAACCCAGGAGTTTGAGACCAGCCTGGGCAACATAGCCAGATCTCATCTCTACAAAAAATTTAAAAATTAGCAGGGCATGCATACCTGTAGTCCCCAGCTACTTGGGAGGATCACTTGAGCCCAGGAGTTTGAGACTGCTGTGAGCTATGATCCTGCCACTGCACTGTAGCATGGGTGACAAAGCAAGATCCTGCCCTGTCTTGAGAAGGGAGGGGATGGGAGGGGAGGGGAGGAGGAAAAATGAAGAAGGGACTGAAATAAAAGTCTACACATTTTTACTGGGGAGACAGAACTGTGATATAGACAGAAGCATAGAGAGGCTTCTGGGGTGCCTGGCAAAGCCCTGTTTGT